GAATGTTGTCGAAGTCGACCTCCTATCCATTGCAGCTGATGAACGTCGGCTGCCTAAAACCAGTAAAGAAAGTCTAAAAGGCGGGCGGGCCGACTTTGTGATTCCATACACCCCCTTGAATATATAGTAGAGCTTTACATAACAACTAAAAGTTTTTATGCAAAAAGGCGGAACTAACAAGAAATTGAAAATTGAGTTTTTGAATGAATATTGTGAATACCATTAAACTACAGGTCTTGACTTTACACGTCTGCGATCAAATTAACTTAGAACAAGTAAAAAAAGCAGCTAAGTTCGAACTTTTAATACCCTCCTCCATCTAGAAGAAGCTTGAAATTTTTTCAAAAAACTTCCGCAAACTACCACTTAAATGAAAACTGTTATATGAGGGCTATACGAAAATGTGGACCTGCACAGACAATTTTCTGTCTTAGGGTGTAGTATCCATTACGAACTTCAAACACCAAATGTGAAACAATTCCGGTAAATAATGTCGCTAAAATCATGAAAATACCGAATAATGGAGGTTTCCGTTATATGAGGGCTATACAAAAATGTGGACCTGCACAGACAATTTTCTGTAGTATCCATAGCGAACATCAAATATCAAACTTTTCCGGTGAATAATGTCGCTAAAATCATCAAAATATCGTTAAGAAGGGGGGTGGTACCGTTTTTTGGGCCTATACCAACACGTGGACCTACACAACCCATTTTCAATACCAAAAGTCCTGCAGACATAATATACAATTGAGTAAAATTTTATCAACCTACTTTATTTTGTTCGGAAGCTAGAGTGATTTCCACAGACGGACGGACATAAATCGACATTGAATTTTATGTTGATCAAGAATACAGGGTCAGATAAATAAACTGCAACAAAGTCAAATGCCATAATTTTTACATTTTTTTTTTCGAATTTTATTGAATGAAAGCAAAAAATGTCGGAAATAGCATCAAATTTTAAAATAAGTTTAGATTTGTTCGAATTGGTCACCTTTGACACGAATTATGGCCTTGAAACGGCCAATAAAACCGCCACAAGCTGTCCGAATGTTGCTCTGCTGTATTTTGGCCCATTCCCGGCGAAGCTCTTGCTTGAGGTCATCGACACTTTGGTATTTTTTAGTGCCAACCTTGCTTTCCAAAATACTCCAGACACAATAGTCCAACGGATTGGTATCCGGAGATTTCGGTGGCCATTGTGCGCTGGAAATGAAGCGAGGAACCTCATTTTGTAACCATTCTTGGGTGGCGCATGCTGAGTGCGTTGGTGCTGAGTCCTGTTGGAATGTCCATGATCTGCGGCCAAAAAGGTTGCATGCCCATGGCTTTAATACATCCTCCAGAATATTTTCGCAATAATATTCGGCATTTATTCTGATGCCACGGTGGATTAATAATAATAGCGGAGAGCGACCATCAGCTGTTATGGCGGCCCACACCATCACCACAGCCGGCGCTTGAGTTCTGGTGGCCAACCAAAGGTGCACATTTTCAGCTGACCTTTTTGACAAGTAAACACGACCATTTTGTTTGTTTACAAACTGCTGGACAGCGAATGCTTTCTCATCGGCATCGGAGAAAACCAAATTCGACAGTTCGCCACTTTCGGCCAAGCGAAGCAACTCTTTAGCTCTTTTGAGTCTATTTTCTTTCTGTTGCGGCGTAAGTTCTTGCACTTTTTGGAATTTAAATGGCTGTACCTCGAGGTCATTTTTTAATATTTGCCGAATGGAATATTGCGATATGTTCAGTTCACGAGTCATTTTTCAGCCACTGCAACGCGGGTTTCGATCAAGTCGCTTCTTCTTTACTTTTCGAAACATTTCTGCTGATGTTGCTGATCTTTCTTTCGTCCACTTCCTTGACGTCGGGCTACGCTACCAGTATCACGAGGTAACGGGCGATGGTACGAGACACAAAAGATTTATTCACATTTAAATGCAGGAGTGCTCTAACGATAGCCACATGTGGTTTGCCAGCCAAATATAAAGAAATCACACTATCACGCTTGAACTCCATCACGATTAACTTTTTTTCCAGAAAATTCTCAACAAAATGCTTTTGTACGCTTGTAAACAATATAATGAGCTGTCACTGGAATAATTTTAACAGCTGTCGGACGAGTGGCTTAGAAATGACAGCAGTCTGAAGTTGGTTGAAGTTTTTTATCTCACCCTCTATATATACTTTGTGGGGTCTAAAATGTATACTTCGAGGTGTTACAAACGAAATGACAAACTTAATATACCGTCCACACTATGGTGGAGGGTATAATAAAACCCGTCCCCAAAAATCTTATACTTGCAAAATAAAACTCAAATTAGATTTTTGTTTATATTTCATAAATATTTGTGTGTATGTGTGTTTATTTATCAATAGATTTTGTTTTGTTTAATTTTTTTGGAAAAAATGGTCTGTTTAAATTTAGTTTGTTGCTTGGTGTCATTTCATCGTAAGATAACGATTTGCTTTTTTTTTCTTAAAAATACTAATTAAAACACTTAAAAATAAAGAATTTATATATTTATAATTATAAAGCAACAAGATTGAAGTGGGAGGTAAAGAGACAAGAGATTACAATAGCTTATAGGCAGAGCATCATGACTCTTACGATCAACTGTAATTTTCAGATGAAATAATCAAAAATGAATTTAAAGATGCCTAGAATGAAATATTGTCTAAAACTAAAGAGATTTTGTTATGCAGACAACCAGTGATTTAAAGTGGTGAAAAAACAAAAAAAAAATATTTTAAAAAATCTGAAGCACTTTTTTTAGCATTTTTTGAATATTCAGGGTGAGATGAAAAAACTGCAACCAACTTCAGACTGCAGTCATTTCTAAGCCACTTGTCCGACTGATGGTAAAATTATTCCAGTGACAGCTCATTATATTGTTTACAAGCGTACAAAAGCATTTTGGTGAGAATTTTCCAGAAAAAAAGTTATTCGTAGCGGAATTCAAACGTGATAGTGTGATTTCTTTATATATGGCTGGAAAATCACAAGTGGCTATCGTTGAAGCACTCCAGCATTTAAATGTGAATAAATCTTTTGTGTCTCGTACCATCGCTCGTTACTGGTAGCATAGCCCGACGTCAAGGACGTGGACGGAAGAAAACAGCAACATGAGCAGAAATGGTTCGCTGAAAGTAAAGAAATGACTTGATCGAAACCCGCCTCGCGTCGCAGTGGCCGAAAAATGGCTCGTGAGCTGAACATATCGCAATTTTCCATTCGGCAAATATTGAAAAATGAGCTCGGGGTAAGGTCATTGAAATTCCAAAAAGTGCAAGATCTAACACCGCAATAGGAAGAAAATGGACTGAAAAGAGCCAAAGAGTTGCTTCGCTTGGCCGAAAGTGGTGAACTGCTGACTTTGGTTTTCTCCGATGAGAAAACATTCCTTGTCCAACAGTTTGTAAACAAACAAAATGATCGTGTTTACTTGCCAAAGAGGTCAGCCAAGGAGGTCAGCTTCGGTTGGCCACCAGAACTCAAGCGCAGGTCATGGTGATGGTGTAGGCCGCCATAACAGCCGATGGTCGCTCTCCGCTTGTATTAATCGACTGTGGCATCAGAATAAATGCCGAGTATTATCGCGAAAATATTCTAGAGGGTGTATTAAAGCCTTGGGCACGCAAACAACCGATAATCGCTCTCCGCTCGTATTAATCAATCGTGGCAACAGATTAAATGTCGAATATTATCGCGAAAATATTCTGGAGGGTGTATTAAGGCCTAGGCACGCAAACATTTTGGCCGCAGACCTTGGATATTCCAACAGGAGTCAGCACCATCGCACGCGTCACCCAAGAATGGTTACAAAATGAGGTTCCTCGCTTCATTTCCAGCGCAAAATTACCACCAAAATCTCCGGATACCAATCCGTTGGACTATTGTCTGGTCTGGAGTATTTTGGAAAGCAAAGTTGGCACTAAAAAATACCAAAGTACAGGGTTGCCCATATTCGACGGACCCTTGCGCCTTCTAAGAACACCATTAAGCGTTTATACGAAAAATTTTCGACTTGTAAGGCTCTTTCTAATCCGAAGAGGCCATATAAAAGTCGACCAAGGCGATCGGCCGAGAATATCGCTGCCGTACGAGCTAGTGTTCTCAGCAGTTGGGCATGGCTCGTTCCACTTTACAACAGATTATTCGCATTGATTTGCATTTGTTCCCGTACAAAATTCAATTAACGCAAAGAATGTTGCCTGCGGACAAGCCTCGTCGATTGGAATGGGCCCATGTGTAACCCTGTATCGATCACCTCAAGCAAGCACTTCGCCGGAAATGGGCCAAAATAGCGCAGAGCAACATTCGGGCAGCGTGTGACTTATTCTAAAATTTGATGCTATTTCCCATATTTCTTGCTTTCATTCAATAAAATTTAAAAAAAGGCAAAAATTAAGGCATTTGACTTTGTTGCAGTTGTTTTTTTATCTCACCCTGTATGCTTAATTTCTGGCGGTATTGGATTTTTTTCTAAAATTTGATGCTATTTCCGATTTTTTTTGCTTTCATTTAATAAAATTAAAAAAAAAAATGTAAAAATTATGAAATTTCACTTTGTTGCATTTTTTTATCTAACCCTGTATGCTTCATTTGTGGTGGTGTTGGATAATAGCAATTTTCTTTTTAAGATAGGAGGAAAAAAAGAAAGCCTGACTATGGAGGATAAATAAGTTTTAGCTATAATATTTCTTGTGTTTTTTTGGTTATTGCTTGTTGTATTATTTTTCTTTTCTTTTAAAAAATGGTAAATTTAAAAGCCATTGAGTTTTTTTTTTTTTTTTTTTGTAAATAAAAGCTTTTATTTTTATTGGATATTTTTATATTTGAGTTTTTTACTTTGTTTAACTATATTTAAGAAATTAAAGGGGGAAAACAAACAAAAATTATGTAGAATTTTTGTTGCAGTGCAAAACATAAAGACAAACATTTACACACGACTACACGAAGTGAGGGGGGGGGGGGTTAGAAATTCCTTTTTGCAATTCTCTCCCCCCCAAAAAAAAAAAAACACCAAAACAGAGACTCCCGCGCCATTGTCACATGGCATGGCTTAACTATTGAGGTGTTTGCAATTGTAACTTTGGTTAAAAATTATTATTATAAATTATAACATATTCAAATATAATAAAGTAATATTTTACACATTTTCAAATGTCGTTTGATTAAATATATAATAAAATCAAGTTTTGTAACATGTTGTATTTTTTTTTTTTTGAAATTTTTTTCTTTTAAATATTTAAAATTTTATTTTTGTTTTATTTTGTATATATAATTTGTTTAGGCTTAAGTATAATGGGTTTATATAAATTATAAAATTAAAAAATAAAATACAATTTTAAAAATACAAAAATGGGAAAACTTAGCTTAGGTTAAAATAGCAAATAAGGGGTTATAGTTTATATTTCGTAAATTGAAAAAAAAAAAACAATACCCATTTATTCTCCAAGGGGGAACAGGGTAAAGAGGGATTATAAATAATGTTTTTTTTTTTGTGAGGGGTTAATAAATTTAAATTTTTATTACGATTTTTTTACTTAAAATGAAAAACACTCTTTGAGAGAATTGGGGATTGGAGTTGACGGGGGTGGGGTGTGGAACTCTATTCTTTTAAAAACAGATAAAAAATACTTTTCTTTTGTATTAAACTTAACATTTAAGATTTGTTTAAAATTAGTACATAAATACAGACAGGTAAAACAGCAAAAAAAAAAATGGAAAATTTTGAGTAAATTACAGATTCTTAAAGAAAGGGGGGAGGTGAAGCAATAGGGTTGTTTCAAAGCTACACATTAATTTTATTTATTCAATTTTTTTTCACTTAAAAACTAAACTTATTGCTGTGTTTGATTTTGCTGTTGATGCTGGGTTTCATAGCGTTGCCTTAGTACGGTCAAGGCGCTCAACAAACGGCTGTTGGCCGCATCCAAAGCAGCAATTTGACCCTGTTGCTCCTCAATTACCCGCTGTTTGTGTGACAATGCCAGCGACATTTTCAGCTGTTCACGTCTTAATTCCTCCTCCATGGTTATTAATCTGGAATAAAAAAAAAAACATGTTAACAAATTGAAATTAAGTTTGGGTACTGAGAAATTTATACATGATAATTTTTATAACACAGACATTTCAATACTACTTCAGAAAGAGAAAAAATAAATTAAAATAAAAACCCATAAATCTTTTGGAAAATGTTTTCAAAAATCCACGCTTGGTATAATATTTGGAAAAAATATTTTGAAAATCTTCGCTTGGGGTACCATTTTCTGTAATAGGTTGTTAGTATCCATTGCGAACTTCAAATACCAAATTTGAAACAATTCCGGTGAATAATATCGCTAATATCAAAATACCGAATATCGGGAGGTACTGTTATATGGGAGCTATATTACGACGTGGACCTGCACAGACAATTTTCTGTCATAGGCTGTAGTATCCATTGCGAACTTCAAATACCAAATTTGAAACAATTCCGCTGAATAATGTCGCTAAAATCATTAAAATACCGAATATCGAGAGGTACCGTTATATGGGGGCTATACAAAGACGTGGACCTGCACAGACGATTTTCTGTTATAGGCTGTAGCACCCATTACGAACTTCAAATATGGGAGCTATATTACGACGTGGACCTGCACAGACAATTTTCTGTTATAGGCTGTAGTACCCATTACGAACTTCAAATACCAAATTTGAAACAATTCCGGTGAGTACTGTCGCTAAAATCATCAAAATACCGAATATCGAGATGTACCGTTATATGGGGGCTATACGAAGACGTGGACCAGCATAGACAATTTTCTGTCATAGGCTGTAATATCCATATCGAACTTCAAATACCAAATTTGAAACAATTCCGGTGAATAATGTAGCTTATATCATCAAAATACCGAATATCGTGAGGTACCGTTATATGGGGGCTATACGAAGACGTGGACCTGCACAGACAATTTTCTGTCATAGGCTGTAGTATCCATTGCGAACTTCAAATACTAAATTTGAAACAATTCCGGTGAATACTGTCGCTAAAATCATCCAAGACGTGGTCCTGCACAGGCCATTTTTTGTCATACGCTGTAGTATCCATTACGAACTTCATACATCAAATTTGAAACAATTCCAATGAATAATGTCGCTAAAATCATCAAAGTACCGAATATCGGGAGTTACCGTTATATGGGGGCTATACGAAGACATGGACCTGCACAGACAATTTTCTGTCATAGGCTGTAGTATCCATTGCGAACTTCAAATACCAAATTTGAAACAAATCCGGTGAATACTGTCGCTAAAATCATGAAAATACCGAATATCGGGAGGTGCCGTTATATGGGAGCTATACGAAGAAGTGGACCTGCACAGACAATTTTCTGTCATAGGCTGTAGTATATATTATGAACTTCAAATACCAAATCTGGAGATTTCCCATATTATTTTTATCAATTCCACCCCTTGCTTATTTCCTGGCGAATCACCTACCTATCAATAATACTCCTCATTGTCGATTCCGATTGCAAGCTCAAATTATTGGCCGTCAGACCGGCCACACCGTTTGGTCCACAACCGCTGAAACCATTGCAACGTTGCAAGGCAAACAATTCATCACTGGAATCCCTCAACTCAGCCTCATCCCGGTCCAGGGTGTGACGCAGGGTGTCCAAAGTTTCTTGCAGCAATTGGATTTCACCATTTTGATCATTCAAGTTGGTGGACTGGAGGCCATTTGAACTATTGTTCACATGATTGCGGGGCTGGCGACGGCGTTTATTGGCCTCATGGGGAGGATATTGACCTGCGAGACATAGAAACGTTATTACAAACTATTCCATAAAATTCCCAAAATGTTGTCCCCCCAACTTACCCTCTGTATCATCGGTTGAACTATCCGACAGAGTGCGGGCCGAATCCAAACTCAAACGCCTTTGATAACGACCATTGCTGGCCAATACCAAAGCTCCACAGTTGTTAGAGCCCTGCTGCTGTTGTTGCTGCCTTGCTGAATTGTTGTAAATTGCCACAGTGCCCGGATGAACCACACCGCCACTGCTACCACCCGAGGAGGCCGACGATGAGGTCATATAACTACTGCTGCCATTATTCAATGGAGCATAAATATCCTCCCTTTTGAATTGTGGATTGGTACGTGGCATGCGCTGCTGCTGCTGCTGCTGGGATTGTGACACATTATAACCTTGCATATTCGAACTGGAGGCTGATGAAGTACTGCCACCACTCAAGGTCCTCTGGGCATCCAAATGACCATGTGATGGAGATTTCAACAATTTGTTCACGGGAGCATAATTGTGATAATTGTCGTTTGAAAGACGTTCCTCGCTGGAGGAGGGTGTTAAGGGGGCAGCGCCATTTAGCAATGCTGCCCGAGCTGCCACTAAACCACCGGTATTTGATTTGGTCCTGTTGCTACTGTTATTGTTCGCCCCAAACAATTGTTGATGGGCACTTAGCGCCGAATTGTAATTGCTCGATGCGGATCTTTGGTGATGATGGTGGTGATGATGATGCCCTCCAGCCGATTGCTGGGCCGACGACGACGACGAAGAGTTCTGCTGCAGTTGATAGCTGGGATTCTTAAATGCCAATGGAGCTGCCATGCCCGACTTTTGTTGGGTTTGATTAGTGCTGTTATCCTCTCGACTCTGAGTGTTAATGCTTTGGTATCCGGAACTGGAGCCATGACTGGTCTTGCCCGACAGCTGTTCTTTGTTGTTTTTGGCCGAGGCGGTAGGTTGTACCTCACCCACAACGGCATGTTCTTCGGCATATTTGAAGAGATCATCTAAATCCTCCAAATTCATGGGCATATTTGAGTTGGGATTTGAATCTCGCTGGCGTGACGAGGGAGGATAGGCGGCAGAGATTTTGTGTGACAATGGTGAACTGGAGTGATCGGGTATGCCCAAATTCAATTTACTGGGAGTACGATCGCTGAGTGTCAAACTCAATGAGGAGTTGTTTAAGACCCCTCTTTGTTGCTTCTTCTGGAGCTGGGAGGCATTTAGCATGCTCACGGCACTGCTTACCACTCCGCCACCTTGCTGGTTGGCTTGATTCTTCAGTAGGGGTGTGGGTGATTTGCGTACAAAGGCGCTGTTGGTGTCCAGACCAGAAATTTGTATGAAATCTCCGGTGGACTCATCGTAGTTGTTATTGCCTCTTGGAAGGGTGGTGGCCCTTACTTGGCCCCCAGCAGAACTGACTTCGCTGTCATTGCCATTGTGGCTGGCAGTAGAGAGATTGCCATTGGAGCTGGTGGCTGTGTAATGCAAACGATCCATGGTGTTGGTGGCACTGGCATTGGGTGCGGGCGGACAATGGTGGTTGACCCCACCCGGCATCATTAGCTGGGATGAAGATGCAATCGATGTCTGGCTTTGGGCATGTTGCATGCCACCTGTATAGGTTAGTCCCGCAATGGAGGTTTGTGAATTCGAATGGCGTTTATCCAAATTGCCATGGAGTTGTTGCTGCTGCTGTTGTTGTTGTTGTTGCTGCAGCAGTATGCCATTGACTGTGGGATCGTTATAGCGGAAAATGTTCTTTTCCAATGAACTGGGTGTTAGAACACCTCTCATAATACCCCTTTCGGCGGGTATGGGTTTGGTTACCACCGCATGTTGTGGCTGGGCCAATTGAGCCTGCTGTTGCACCACACCACTTTGGCCACCAGCTGAACTCTGTGACGTCATCATTTCATCGGGATTGCGATTCTCCTGGTTTTCACTTGTCGACGAGGTGGACATCATCATCATGTTGCAGGGCATATGTTGCATGTAGCTATTGCTTTCTTTGGCTTTGGTTATTTCATCCAAAATATGTTGCAGCGGATCCAGGTCATGTTGACGGGCCTCAGGCAGCTTGGAAACACTTTCACTCAACAGCATATGGAGTATGGACAGTTGTTTGCCTTGATCAATGTAGCCAGCCCAGTCTAGGATGGACTCGGGAGTGGCATGTTCAGGGCGGGTGGAAATGTTCTGCAGGAATTCTTTCATTTTGGGAGCCTCCTGTTCGAGGAAGTCGTTGAGGAATTCCATGAAATTCTCCTTGCCCTGGAAACGGGTGAAATTGGCCAGGGTTTGTAGGGTTTTGGCCACTAGGGTAAGGTTACGGGTGGCGCGCGAGGAGGGTAGTTCTGAAAGCAAGAATAAGAGAAGTGTTATGAGAGGTTGAAAAAATAAGACATGTTGCCATCTTACCATTGGTAATGTTGAATAGACTGGGCGACAATATGGCCGGGCACAGGAATCTCAAAAATATGGAAGCTGATATCAAGTTATCTGCCATATCCTGGCGCCCCAGCTGTTCCAATCTTTCACGGAATGTGGCAAAGCAATTGCGCAGTTGAGTGGGGAAATTCTTGTGTGACTCATAGATACATTGCCAGGCATTGCGCACGGCAGCCCTCAAGGAGGCCTGTTGTCGTTGCAGCGAGCCAGTCGCCTTGGTGGGATCCACTTCACAGTCACGATCCGATTGTATGATCTCATTGATGGGTCCGGCCAAAGTGTCTTGCAAATATTGTTCTCCGGTCAATTTCAGGAATGCCTCCATGCTCTTGGTGGCCAGTGAATTGCCACGGAAGGTCAAACGTTGGTCGCCAACACGCAACAAATCCAGGGCCACCACATCGGTGAGAAAAGCTCCTGCCAAACCCTGGGCATGCATTAGCAATACCAATGATTGGCCAATGTCTTCTTTGGCTTTGACACCGATGACCGGTTCCAGGGTTTCACACACCTTTTTGTAGTTCTCCTTGAGATAGGTCAAGAAGTCCGCATAGACATTTATGGGCAATATGTCAATGCTTTGGAAACGACACTTGATGCGCAATGTGGGTATGACCTCCTTGCCATTGCGATTGAGACTGTCATTCTTCTCGCTCAATATGGGATACCAATCCTCGGAGAACAGTCTGGTGGTCACCTCGTGAATGGGTATCTTCACGGAACCCACAAACATGTGTTTGTCCCGTTTCTTTTTCTTCTCCACCTCACGGAAAACATTCACCGTGATCACATTGATGTCGGGTATATCGGGGAAATCGAAATATTCACCCCAGAACAGTAGATCGGTTTGCAGCTTGACACTTGTGCGCCCGTACAGCGTCTTGTCCAGATGCAATTCGCAAAAGTATTTTTTCTTTGGTGGTAGATTTTTGGCCTCGTATATCCACATTTTCAGGGAGTTGTCGGTGTGGCGGGTGTGCTCGGCATTCGGTGCAATGGATTTGCGTAGCGAGTAAATCCACAGATCACGTTCCTGACGTGAGCCACACGAGTAATAACGTTCACCGCGTGGTCCACCGCGTACCTGGAAACAATAGCGGCGACCCAGTACGGATTGATGGACAGGTGCCACACCCACGGCACCGGTGCAAGAGAGATCTGTAAGGGAGAAATAATAAGAATTAATGAAGGGATTTGGAGAGAGAGAGAGAGAGAGAGAGAGAGAGAGAGTACTTACCTATGGTTGACATTACTGCATGACTGGATAATAAACTTTCGTGTGAACGAGAGCCGCGTAAGCCTCCCGAACCTCGTTTGGTGCGTTCTAATTTGGTAACAGACTTTGTACGTTTCAAAGCATTCGTTCTGGAATGGTAAAAAATAGAGAAATTATTTTTTAGATAAAAACGAAAAAAGAAATGGTTAGAGAATCGAATTAAAAAAATTAAAAATATTTCAAAATTTCCGATTTAGGAATTTTAAGATTTGCAAAACATTTTAAAAACACTCCCTAAATTGTCTAGGGAGTATATTCAAATTATTTTCGTGAGGAACCAATACAGAGAGCCACATGGAGCCCCGCCAATTGTATCATAAATATCATCCAAAGCCAATTAATGAGACAAAGCCCCTTTTGACAAAAAAAAAAAAGGAAGCCACCAACAAGAAGCCCGTCGGTGGTGGTGGTGATCTATCTAAACCCATTGAGAGCTGCACTTGTGCAGCTAATCAGCATGACTAATACCAACATAGAATTTTGTCTGCCTTTCATTGAATCGTTTGAGTAGTCACTGTGTTTGGAAGCGTTTGTCGGTCTATTTGTTGGTGGTTAAAATTGGCCAAAATCGAGCAAAAAAAAATTGAATTCAAAGACTAAACCGCAAACAAGAGCCAGCAAACGAAGAAGCACAGCTGGTGTGTTTTATGTGGTTACAGCTCACCATCACCACCACCAACTCAGATGATGTAGCCAATAACCAAACCTTCTAGCTGGCCTGGCACCCCTTTTCTGGCCGTCTCTGCTCTCTCTCTCTCCCTCTCTACATTAACTTGGCCAAGAGCTGGAACCAAGCTGTTACAGAATTCCGTGTAAGCGTTGTTAACTTGATTTGTTGATTCACTGGCTTTGTGGCAAGCAGAAAATAAAACGGCTATGAAAACCTGTACCTGAAAAATGTTGTTGGTGTTGTTGTTGATGCCACAAATACACAGACACATGACAGAAGAAAGACGGTCTGTTCAAAATTCAAATGGCCACCATTTCTACTCCCCTGTTTCGGTGATGAAAGTCTCCCAGGTTTTCTTATTTGTTTCCATTTGCATATGGCCAGAGCTTTGTGGGGGCTCTTTTCAGGCTGCTCCGTTTTGAGATAAATGGCAAACAAGCCATGAAATATGTAACAGCTAATAATCAGAAGAGGAGGTAAAAAAGGTGAACAAAATTTGGTTGCCAATACATAAAAAAAAAAATACAAAATAGTAGGGAAGGAATTCCCGTACCCCCTCTCCACACAGTGACTACTGATCTCAGCGACCACTTGCCTCAGCAAGTCGGTAGTTGATACCTGTCGTCGATGTTAACAGAACACGCTGCCACTTTTTATTTATCTATTGGCCATAACAAATTTGTTTGTTGGCCCAAGAGGCAAGCAGTCAACTCCCGGGCTTAAGCTGGCCAATGCACTATGGGTTTTTTTACGTTTATTTTGGCATAAACTCTAATTTCAAAGCTATTGAATTGAAATTTGGTTTGTATGCATTTTTTATGCTTCCAAGATGACCTACCAATTTTCATATGATTTGGGGCACTATTTCATATAGCTGCTATATAGCCGATTTGGCCGATTTGACCCAACTTTTTTGTTTATGAAGCTATTGAAGTGAAATTTGGTTTGTATTCATTTTTTATGCCCCCAAGATGACCTACGAATTTTCATATGATTTGGGGAACTATTTCATATAGCTGCTATATAGCCGATTTGACCCAACTTTTTTGTTTATGAAGCTATTGAAGTGAAATTTGGTTTGTATTCATTTTTTAAGCCCCCCAAGATGACTTACGAATTTTCATATGATTTGGGGCACTATTTCTTATGTAGCTGCTATATAGCCGGTCTGGCCTATTTGACCCAACTTTTTATACCCTACACCACATAGTGGTAAGGGTATTATGTCTTTGTGCATTTGTTTGTAACATGGAGAAGGAAACGAGATAGACCCATAGTTACTTTTGAGAACCTTCATAGAATCACTTTCTGAGTCGATTTATGCATGTCCGTCCGTCTGTCCGTCCGTCCGTCCGTCCGTCCGTCCGTCCATCCGTCCGTCCGTCCGTCTGTCCATGTATTCTTGTGAACAAAATGCAGGTCGCATTTATTATCCGATTGAGATGAAATTTTCCAAACAATATTTTTTTGGCCCAAGGACGAACCCTATTGAAATTGGTGAGAATCGGATCAAATTTAGATATAGCTCCCATATATATCTTCATCCGATTTCGGGTTAAATGTGCACCAAATGTCCACTATCAGTCCAAATTACCTGAATTTTGGCACACCCAACCGAGTTCGGCCTAGAAGCAAGTATATCAAATTTGAAGAAAATCGGTTCAGTTATAGCTATAGCTCCCATATATATCTTTCATCCGATTTGATCTTTAAGTCCCTCACATTCCTACTATGCACTCCACAACCGTGATATTTGGTACCAGGTATTAGATGGAGCACAGAAATAGCTGTTTTAAATTTTATCGAAATCGGTTCAGATTTGGATATAGCTCCCATATATATCTTCATCCGATTTCGGGTTAATTGACCACCAAATGGCCAATATCAGCCCAAATGGCCCGAATTTTGGCACATGTGACCGAGATTAACCTTAAAGCAAATACAACAAATTTGGAGAAAATCGGTTCAGAAACAGCTATAGCTCCCATATATATGTTTTATCCGATTTGGTGTTTAAGCCTCTCACATTCGTAATATGCACTCCACAAGAATGATATTTGGTACCAGATATAAGATACAGCCCAGAAATAGCTGTTTGTAATTTTATCGAAATCGGTTCAGATTTGGATATAGCTCCCATATATATCTTCATCCGATTTCGGGTTAATTGTGCACCAAATGGCCGATATAAGTCCAAATGGACTGAATTTTATTACATCGGACCAAATTCAGCCTAGAAGCAAGTATATAAAATTTAGTGAACATCGGTTCAGATATAGATATAGCAACCATATATATGTTTCATCCGATTTAGTGTTTTAGTCCCTTACATTCGTAATATTCACTCCACAACCGTGATATTTGGTACCAGGTATTAGATGGAGCACAGGAATAGCTGTTTTAAATTTTAACGAAATCGGTTCAGATTTGGATATAGCTTCCATATATATCTTCATCCGATTTCGGGTGATTGACCACCAAATGGCCGTAATAGCATCAATTTTGGCAAATCCGACCGAAACCAGCCTAGAAGCAAGTACACCAATTTTAGTAAAAATCGGTTCAGATATAGCTATAGCTCCCATATATATCTTTCATCCGATTTGGTCTTTAAGTCCCTCACATTCGTAATATGCACTCCACAGGAATGATATTTGGTACCAGATATCAGATAAAGCCCAAAAATAGTTGATTTTATTTTTATTAAAATCTGTTCCGATTTGGATATGTCTCCCATTTATATCTTCATCCGATTTCGTGTTAATTGTGTACTAAATGGCCCAAATCACCTGAATTTTCGTACATAAGACCGAATTCAGTCTAGAAGCTAATACGTCAAATTTGGAGAAACCCGGTTCAGAGATAGCTATAGTTCGTAAAATGCACGATAGAATTAGATAGATTTTGATTTTGTACCAAATATCTCATAGAGCTCTGAAATGCCCTGTGTAAACCTTTTTACGAGAGCTCTACTAAATATGCATAGTGGTGTAGGGTATCATATAGTCGGCCCCGCCCGACTTTTGAGCTTTCCTTACTGGTTTATTTATGAAGCTGTTGAAGTGAAATTTGATTTGTATTCATTTTTATGCCCCCAAGATGACCTACGATGGCCGATCGGCTATGATGATTTGGAGAAACATACTGCTCATTCATTACAATAATTATACTTTTGCTAAGCCATTTTGAATGTTTAGTTTTAAATCGCTCTAGTTTACGTATGCACTTTGGCAAATGCTTTTTTATATAATTAACAAAATCTTTCACTTGTTTTGATATCAAACGCATTTGGTCTTCATTTAAACTGATATTATTGGTATTCTGTACCACATATTTTACTAGTGCATCTTCTGAGCGATTGTTGCTGCTCCAAATTTCAATAAGCGCTGCATGGGCAAACACGTGTTTATCTGCAAAACACGTGTTGGCACAAAATAGAACAAAAAAGGCTAGTTACTCATTAATTAACACACTTTTGTTAATAACTTGGCATTTATACCTTTTTGCAATGCTTTGCCATTCACAAGTTACACTCCACGGAACACAACTACAATTTATAGATTTTATATAAAGCTATACATAAACGAAACAATTCACAGTATTACAACAACAGACAATTATGACAAAAAGGGCACCTCGTCTTAATTTTACATACCTGCACTAACGTTTTCCATAATTACACATTTTATTTTTTTCAATTTTGTCAAATCAGAAGCACTTGAACTTAGCTGATCTTTACCGCCAGTTGTACCAAAACAAAGTGACTTTCAAACAGCTGACTTTAAAAGCTCGCCAGCAAAAAAGGGTTGCCACCCGTATTGATATTAAACATTTTTTTTTCTAATATGGGTATCTACATTTAGGAAATCAGTTAAATTTCAAAATATGAAACCAAAAAAAAAATGACTTTATGCCAAAAAATCATGCTTTTTACCCATAGTGCAATGGTTGGGTAACAACATAATCTAACCCAAAAAAACTACTTGAATTCACAGCTGGCATTTAAACGCGAGTAGCACCCATTTTTAAGCTGCCAGACAAGTGGTAAACATAGGAAGCCTCAAAATGTAGCATTTGCCAAAAAACAGTCTTTATTGCCAATTTCCTATTTTATTAGCAATTTCCTAGACCAATTACATATTTTTGGCCAGAAGACCAATGGAAAATGAAGCCATTGGGAATTTTCGAGGGAGTGGAGGTGTATTCAAAGGGTCTGCCATTAAAAACACACACCTTAAAAAATTGGCTTTCATCCTAAAACATAGATGCACTAACAAAAATTTGAATTTGAACCGATTACTCATTGCACATGAACCGATTATTCATCTTTTTGTGAACCGATTACCAAATCTAATAAACCCAAAAAATGTAAATCTCTTCAAATTAAATAAGATTCGGAGAACTATACTATTGAACTATTACAATACAGATTGCATTGGTAAAAGTTCTACCGATTACTCATTGCTCATGAACCGGCTATTCATCTTTTTGTGAACCGTTTACCAAATCCAATAACCCAAAAATGTAATTGTCTTCAAATTAAATAAGATTCTGAGAACTATGGTATTCTTTATATCATTTACAAAGCGATTACTTGGTATTTTGAAACGGTTACTCGTTACCTTCTAAGCTCACAAATAATTTTTTTTTATATTTTTTTCGAAGATATTGATAGATTTTAAGCTTTATAATGCGATTTTGAAATATTATTATTAAATTTTAGGAATATTTCAAACGGTTACTCGCATTTTGAAACGGTTACTCGAAATTTTTTGGGTTAAATTGCCTTTTTATGTAAATTAAGGATATTAGAGAAAATTAATAATATTTTTAAGCCATTTTTGTAATTTTTAAACTGGTTACTTGCTATTTTTAATCGGTTACTCGTTGATTGCCAGCTGTTTTCCATGATTTAATGACATGTTTTGTTTAAATAACAATAATTTTAATACACAAGCGTTTTCCATGAATTGTTTTCACATAATTTTATAAGTTTTTAAGCGGTTACTTGATTTTTGTAAATGATTACCCGTCATTTTTAAGTTATTTTCCTTGCAAAATTGGCTGATTTTAAGATTTATAATGTGATTTTGAAATAGTATTATTCAATTTTAGCATGTATTTTCAACGGTTACTCGCATTTTGAAACGGTTACTCGATATTTTTATAGGGTTTACTACATTTTTATGCAAAATAAGGATATTAGAGAAAATCTATAATATTTCCGAAGCCATTTGTTGTCATTTTTAAAAGGGTACTTGACTTTTTTAATCGGTTACTCGTTGATTGACAGCTGTTTTCTATGATTTGATGGCATGTTTTGTTTAAATAAAAATACTTTTAACACACAAGCCTTTTCTAAAAATTCTTTTCACATAATTTTATAAGTTTTTAAGTGGTTACTTGATTTTTGTTAATGGTTACTCGTCATTTTTAGTTGTTTTCAACGTAAAATTGACTTATTTTAAGATTTATAATGTAATTTTTGAAAATTATTATTCAATTTTAGAATGCATTTTCAACGGTTACTTGGTAATTTTTTTGGGTTAAATTGCATTTTTATGTAAATTAAGGATATTAGAGAAAATCTATAATATTTTCTAGGACATTTTTTGAAAATTTTCATTCATTTTTTACTTGCAATTTTTGATCGGGTACTCGTTGATTTTTAACTGTTTTTCGGTTTGTTTGAAATTTTTCAACAAATATATTTTAAAGTCACCAATATTTTCTAAAAAAAATTCCAACATTTTAAGCAACTGTAGAATGGTTACCTGATACTTGTAGACGTTATTCAGAAAAATAATTTTCTGATATAAAATTGGATTTTGAAAAATAATTACTCAATTTCAACACAAATTTCCAATGGTTACTTTAATGTTGTTGTCGGTTCTTATTACAAACTTTTATGTTCTAACCCAGTTTTTTATATTTTTTAAACCGGTTGCTTGATAGTTTTAATCGGTTACCCGCCAATTATTGATTGAATTAAATTTTTTAAGCGAATACGAATATGCGCTAAGAGATAAAACATAATTTGTTAAACTCTTCATGAATATCTAGAATTAATATTAATTGCTACCATAATTTTGGGCACTTGAAACCGGTTACTCAGCAATTGAAAAGCGGTTACTTGTATTTTTTACTCTTTTATGACTAATATTTGCCCTAGAATGCTGTACAATTGTAATTTTTTAAAATTTAAAAATGTTTTCTTAAAAATTTGAAACCGGTTATGCGAATATTTAATCGGTTACTCGGGTTTGAATAACGTATAATTTACTATAAATGTAATATAAGACCTCTAAGAGTATTTCTGTAATGTTTTTGAGCAAAATGCGTCGAGTTTTGAACCGGTTACTTGCACATTGGGTACCGGTTACTAGTTATTTTTTTTTTTTTTTGATATTTTCATTAAAAATTCGAAAAAGCAACTGAAATTTTACGATTTAACCTAATACAATGATTTTCGAACCGGTTACTTTTAGTTTGGCCACCGGTTACTCGCTATTTTATTTAACTTTTTCATTGAAAATTCGAAGAAACCAATAAAAATTTACGATTTACCCTAATACTAGGAGTTTCGAACCGGTAACTTGTAGTTTGGCTACCGGTTACTCGCTATTTTATTTCATTTCTTCATTCAAAATTCGAAAAATCAAATGAAATTTTACGATTTAACCAAAAACAAGGATTTTCGAACCGGTTACTTGTACTTTGGCTACCGGTTACTCGCTATATTATTTCATTTCTTCGTTACAAATTCCAAAAAAACAAATGAAATTTTATGATTTAACCTAATTCAAGGATTTTCGAACCGGTTACTTGTAGTTGGGCTACCGGTTACTCGGTATTTTATTTAACTTTTTCATTGAAAATTCGAAGAAACAAATAAAAGTTTACGATTTATCCAAATACTAGATGTTTCGAACCGGTTACTTGTAGTTTGGCTATCGGTTACTCGGTATTTTATTTAACTTTTTCATTGAAAATTCGAAGAAACAAATAAAAATTTACGATTTATCCTAATGCTAGAAGTTTCGAACCGGTTACTTGTAGTTTGGCTACCGGTTACTCGGTTACCGGTTACTATTTTATTTAAATTTTTCATTGAAAATTCAAAGAAACAAATAAAAAATTACGATACAAGGAGTTTCGAACCGATTACTTTCACGCCTTACTCCTTTTTTTAATATTTTTTCGAATTTGAATATTTTTTTTTTTTAATTAATTTTTAAATATTTAAATTTTTATACTATTGATAAAACAAATATTTACCTTTTAGAAAAGAAATTCGTAAATCTTGATGTGGTATTGTTTTCCTGTTGATTTTGTTTTTGACCCAATATGGGTGTCGCTGGTGCTGAGCCACGCCTGCATGCTTTTTCATATGAAGTATCTGAAATTAAATGAAGAAAACAAAAATATTAAATTACATAAATTCCGATTTCTTATTTATAGAAACAGAAATTAAACGAATGACACAGATTTCTTTATGAGATATTGCATTTGACTTGCGAGGTATAATCAGCGAGCCCACATTTCTAGCACCGTAGATCAGTATAAGTGATAATAATAGAAAAAAATTGGCAGATGTATGAATAAAATTGAATCATTAGTCATTTATTCAGTCAGCCATGCAAATGTGTAGTTTGATGAAAAATTCAACTGAGAAATCCGAAAAAAATTGCCGGTTTTTTTAATTAAAATTATGGATTTGGTTTGATGAGTATGCAAACAAGCATTTTTTTTCTCGCTGCCGATCTTTTGATAATCATAATTTGTTTTTAAAGCTGAGGACATATAAAAAACTATGTGTTTTTTAAACTATTAAAAAAACATATGCTGAACAAGCAATGTTGAATTTTAATGGCTGACTCTGGCCGTAACTCGTTTTTTTCTTGCCTCAATAAATCAACCTTTTAACCGGAGATCCAAGAGAAACGTCAGCTGAGCCATAGCCTGAAACATGATTTCATTACTTTGTAATTGTGGATTACGGTTAGCCAAGATAATTCAAATGCTTTTCCCAGCCTGAACTCCTATGGCGGGTCTTTTGAACGAACAACTAGACAAGACAAAGAAGCAGAAGCGGCGGCAGAAAGGCTGACACTCTCTGCAATTTCATATAAATCTTAAGCGGCTAATTAATGGAGACATGTAGGAAAAACAAAGACACAACAACTAAATGAATGCAGAAGAAAAATTAAACAATGCCACTGGAAGAGACACAAGAAGTTACTTAACAAGAGCCATTGTTTGTCAATGCCTATTAAATAACCGTTGCTGAGGCACATAGATACTCCATGCCCGGGCACATTGAGGTCAAAAAAAAAAATGTTTGAAGTAATTTTTTCATATTTTACAATTATTTGCCATTGCAAATTCACACCAATCGATCATGTTCAATGAGAAAGGAGGATTAAGAACATTCAAACAAGTTGGACAAGTTTTTTTTTTTAAATCGAAATTATTTGAATAATTTATGGGACATAAATAAATTGATTTTTTTCTGGTGGTGAAAAAATCAAGTTTCGCAAAAAATGTACATAAAATGTCATTTAAAATTAAAATTGTCAAACAAAAATGACTCAGAAGTGTCCAAAATAGCCAAAAATATACGATTTTTGGCGAACTTATTAAAACCGGTTCGGAACCGGTTCTGAACCGGTTATGGTATATTTAGCATGCAAACGATTTGTAGACTCATTATAAACATAAGACAAATGGAGATTTTGTAGCGCGATAGGTTTTTAGTGAACCGGTTAGTCGGATTATTGCAAAAATTTGAGGCCTTAACAAAAATGGAGATTCAATATGAAAATTTACGACAATGTAATATACTTAAATAATTTTAAATTTTAATGTCGGAAATAGCATCAAATTTTAGGATAAGATTAGATTTGTTCGAATCTAATCACCTTTGGCACGAATTATGGCCTTCAAACGGCCAATGAAACCGTCACACACTGCCGGAATGTTGCTCTGCGTTATTTTGGCCCATACCGGCGAAGCGATTGCTTGAGGTGATCGACACTTTGGTATTTTTTAGTGTTTTCCAAAATACTCCAGACACAATAGTCCAACGGATTGGTATCCGGAGATTTTGATGGCCATTGTGCGCTTGAAATGAAGCGAGAAACCTCATTTTGTAACCATTCTTGGGTGGCGCGTGCTGAGGACGGTGGTGCTGAGTCCTGTTGGAATGTCCAAAGTCTGCGGTTTGAGTGCCCAAGGCTTTAATACACCCTCCAGATTTTTTTCGCGATAATATTCGGCATTTATTCTGATGTCACGGTCGATTAATACGAGCGTAGAACAACCATCGGCTGTTATGGCGGCCCACACCATCACCATGACCGACGCTTGAGTTCTGGTGTCCAACTGAAGGTGCACATTTTCAGCTGACCTCTTTGGCAAGTAAACACGCTCATTTTGTTTGTTTACAAACTGCTGGACAACCAATGTTTTCTCATCGGAAAAAATCAAATTCGTCAGTTCACAACTTTCGGCCAAGTGAAGCAACTCATTAGCTCTTTTGAGTCTATTTTCTTTCTGTTGCGGTGTAAGTTCATGCACTTTTCGGAATTTCAATGACTTTACCCCGAGGTCATTTTTCAATATTTGCCAAATGGAATATTGCGATATGTTCAGCTCACGAGCCATTTTTTGGCCACTGCGACGCGGGTTTCGATCAAGTCGTTTCTTTACGTTTCGAACCATTTCTGCTGATGTTGCGGTTTTCTTCCGTCCACTTCCTTGACGTCGAGCTACGCTACCAGTATCACGGTAACGAGCGATGGTACGAGACACAAAAGATTTATTCACATTTAAATGCTGGAGTGCTCTAACGATAGCCACTTGTGATTTTCCAGCGGAATATAAAGAAATCACACTATCACGCTTGAATTCCATCACGAATAACTTTTTTTCCGAAAAATTCTCACCAAAATGCTTTTATACGCTTGTAAACAATATAATGAGCTGTCGCTAGAATAATTTTAACAGTTGTCGGACGAGTGGCTTAGAAATGACAGCAGTCTGAAATTGGTTGCAGTTTTTTCATCTCACCCTCTATGTTTACAAAACTCTTTATATTATACATTTTTTGTGATCTCCATACACCTCCCGGGCAGTAATAAATAAATTTTATTTTACTGCAAGCCATACAAAATTCAGATTATTTTCTAAAAACAGAAATCTTATTCGATTTCTGAATACCTTACCCAAGTGCTTACTTCTATGCAATCAATTTTGGAATATTTATGGGAAAATATTTGCAAATGGCATTTATTATACCCTAAACAGAAGATTTGGTGCATTTCTTTCTATTATTTTTGTTTTTTTTTAAGAAATTTTAGATATTTTCTTAAAAAGTGATTACAAAAGTATATATTTTGTGATTACCATGTGCTTCTTTGGCAATGAAATCTTGTATTTTCATTTAAGTCATCTAAAATCGATTGTAATTTTCTAAAAGCGAAATTCCTATTTTGTTTTCAATGTAAATTATAACAATTCTTTTTCGAAAGTCAAGTACACATGCAACTTCCCAGCCCTGGCTGCCATAAACATTCATAAAAAATGTGAATATTTAAAAAAAAAAAAACAATGACAGCTAGGTGTTATAGAATTTTTAATATTTTCAACACAAATTTTATTGATCATGTTCTGGTCCGATTCAGAAAGATATATTTGCTAATATTAAAAGCAGAGCATTTGTGTTACAATCAATGAAGTTATGAATTATTTATGCGAAAATTAAAATTAGAATGAAAAATGCAAATAAATTTATTGCGAATATTAATAGGAAACAATGTGAAAGACATAGATTTTTATAAACAAAAAAAAAAAAAAAATGTACAACTCTCCGCCCCCTTTTGCTTGCAGAATTAAAGTTTCTATTTTAGACGATCTTAAGCTATTATTAATTTTTTCCATTTTACATTTGTTAAAAGCTGTTATGAAACATGTTTTTTTTTGTGTTGTTTTTGGCTTGTTTTCTCCAGGTCATAAATTCCAAAAACAAAATTACATGACAGCTATAATGTTAGGTTTGAGTTATTTTCGACAATATTAAAACATGTTTTGAACATGTAATTTACAAGATTATGATTGGTATGATGTTTTACAAGTGTGTTTTTCTTCTTTCTCATACAAAATTTTGAAATTTATTGTGTTTTGAAATTGTGGTAGATATGGCATATTTTTAATTAGATAAAAATAAATACAAAAAAAAAAACAAGTAAGAAAGCTGTAAGTTTGGCCGGGGCGAACTTTTCAAACCCTCCTCGATTTCAGACGAATTGCCAATTTTCAAAAAAAAAAAAAAAAACAAAAACAAAAAAAAAAATTAAAATAAATAAAAATAAAATAAATAAATAAAATCCATTAAAAATTCTGCTAAAATCTTAAAAGTACCGAATGTAGCTATTATATTAGGGTCTATACGACAACGTGGACCTGCATAGGCAACTTTTGTCATAAGCCAATACAATATTCAAATGCGAAACTTGAAAAAAATCGGTGAATAATGTAGCTAAAATCATCAAAATACCTATTATAGGGAGATACTATTGTATGGGGGCTACATCAAAACGTGGACCAGCACCGACAATTTTCTGTCATAGGCTGTAGTATCCACTACGGACTTCAAATACGAAATGTGAAACAATTCCGGTGAATAATGTCGCTAAAATCATCAAACCTCCCGAATATTGGGAGGTACCGTTATATGGGGGCTATATGACGTCGTGGACATGCTCAGACAATTTTCTGTTATAGGCTGTAGTATCCATTACGAACTTCAAATACGAAATTTGAAACAATTCCGGTGAATAATGTGGCTAAAATCATCAAAATACCGAATATCGGGAGGTACTATTATATGAGGACTATACGAAGACTCATAAATAACTGCTTGTATAGAATTTCAGACAATTCCGTTCAAAAAATGTTGCTCAAATCATCAAAATACCGAATATCGGGAGTTACTGTTATATGGGGGCTATACGATATTGTGAACCTATAAAGACAATTCACTTCCAGGGGGTAATGTACCCACAAGGAACTCCTTTTGTGGATTTTAAGACATTTCCATTGAAAAATGTGGCTGAAATCACCAAAATACCGAATATCGGGGGGTATCGTTATATTGGCGTTATATGATAGCGCGTGGACCGATATAGCCCATCTTCGAACTTGACCTGTCTGCAGACAAAAGACAGATCTGTGCAAAATTTTAGCATCTTATCTTAATTCGTTTTGACTGTAGCGTGATTACAACAGACGTACAGGACAGCATATACAGGATGAGATAAAAAAAACTGCAACAAAGTCAAACGCCATAATTTTTTAATTTTTTGAAATTTTTTGAATGGAAGCAAAAAATGTCGGAAA